AATTCTCAGTGGCGTCCAAGAAGAGCCACTCATCCTCAGCTCTGGCTGAGGGATGCTGAATGAAAGGCTCTTCATCTTCCAGAGCAGCTGTTGGAAGAAACAGCTTGCCAAGGAGCAAATGCAACCGAGGGACGGTCTTCCTCTCAATTCCCACCCAAGATCCCAAACACAGGCTCACAGCAAAGAGACTCTTCCATCCACACCAGTTTAACTATGATGGCCTATTGATTGATTTGATTTGCTATTCTCCTCCAAGCAGCGTATGTGGTTCCCACTGCCATCCTAAACCTGTGAAGCAGAATAGGCTCTCTGTGTGTGTGAGAGAGAGAGCCAGCCAGCCAGCCATTGAGCATCATTGGCAGTACAGGGATTCGAATCCAGGTCTTCCCCATCCTAGACCAGCACTCTAACCACTAGGCTTCACTCACAGAGGGATTCAATGCAAAGTGATCCCACTCTAAGCTCACTGATGTCAATAGGACTGAACACCTGCATATGACTGGACTGCTGCTCTCTGCGAAGGCTTCCTCTAAAGCAGGGGTCCCCAACTTTTTTTTAAAAAATTAATTTTTATTTGTTTTTCAAAACAATTTATGCCAAACTGTGGCCAACTAAAGAAATACATATACATGGAGGAACATTCCAATAACATATAAAAACTAAGTCAGAGGTAGTGTAATACTTCAACAAAGAGATCTTCTATAATACACAAAGTCATTAGTCTTTTGAAATTAGAGGAATAAGTGCTATAAGTGTTATCTTTTCCCAACAGGTTATTATAATAAGGTTTCACAGCAATAATGTGGATTTGCAGGGAGTATATCATGTGTGGTGAGATATGTGAATATTGGAAACCAGATTGACTCAAATTTGGAATTGGAAGACTGAGATGATTGTGCTCTATGTACTTTATCTGAGATTGTTGCCATCGCAAAGTGTTCCCACACTTTTTCATGCCAATCAGATAACGTTGGTGGGCACTTTTGGAATCCTGACACAAAGTGGTTGCTGCAGGATACAGAGCCAAGCACAAAGTGGCGACCACGAGAGGTGCACCCACACACCCAGAGAGAAAGCCCAAGTGCTTTGAAAATGCACTGAGAAAGAGGAGTGTGAGAGAGAACAGAACCAACACTGTGTTGGCCAGACCTTCAGTGGACAACCGGAAGCCCCGCTAGGAAGAACCCCACTTGGCCCCACCCACTTTTTAAAAAACCTTTGGTGGGCCCCAAGAGAGGTGCTAGGTGGGCACCATGTTGGGGACTCCTGCCCTAAAGTATCCTGGGAATGACAGCCTAGTGAGGCTAAACGTTCTGTGTTAACAGACAGAGAAAACCCCACCAGCCCCCCCCCCAACCATTACAAAAGCTCCCAGGGCAGAGAATGCAAGAAGAACCCCGTTTGATCAGGCCATCTAGCCCAGCATCCTGGTTTGCACACTGGCCAACCAGTTGCCTTGGAGGACCAACAAAAGGGGCATAGAGGTGAAGGCCTTCCCCTGTTGTTGACTCCTATAACTGGCATGGAGAGGTTTATGGCTTCTCTATAGGGAAGGCGCTATGGCTGACAGCCATCGATGGACCCCCTCCCTCCATGAATCCCAGAGGGGAAGGAATGACTGCTAAACCACTTTATGTCTGTGTGGTGGCCAGTGTTCCCTCTAAGCTGAGTTAGTGTGAGCTAGCTCATTGCTTTTCAGCTTCTAGCTCACACATTTTCGTCTTCGCTCAGGAAATAGGGCTCTAGAGCAAACTAATGTATGCAGTAGCCAAATCGCCCGCTCAGAACTTTAATGCCAGTAGCTCACAAAGTAGGATTTTTGCTCACAAGACTCCACAGCTTAGAGGGAACACTGGTGGTGGCTATGTTTTGGATGCACCAAAACCACTCTGCTTCCCATTGGCCCAGGCCACGTTTCCACGGCCCACGCCGCTTGCGTCCCTTAAGAACGGCTTGCTAAAAAGGCAACTCGATTCTCTTGTCAATAAAAGCTATTTTCTAAACATGTCAGCAGTAAAACGGGATAGTCCATCATCGCCGTCGGTGTTTGCCTTCCCAGTCCAGCAGATCACACAGAAATCCTCTCGGGCAGAGCCTCGAACCTTGCCGTGGCCCTTACCCATTTCCTCCCAGTTCTGTGGGAACCAGCACTTTCCCATTTTTCTTAATAACAGCAAGAGTCATGGGGAACACAGGCACGGGCAGCTAGCGACTGCAAGCAAATGTGTTTTTCTTAAAAAATGGATATGCTTTTTCTCTATTCTTTCCCCCTTAAAAAAAACACCTCCCCCCCCCAAAAAAAAAGTCACCAAGAATCAAAGCGAGCTGAAGTTGCACATATCTGGCCAGAGGGTCGCCTGGTGTCAGCCACCCATCAGAGAAAGATGACAATATCACTGGCTCCTACCAGAAGCTGACAGAGAGAGGATCTGAATCAGAAAATCATGCGGCTTTGTGGGGGGAGGGGGGGAGGAATCCCACATCCAATCCCAATCCCCTTTTTCGATGTAATCTATTTAATCTCCCATTAATGATAATCGCAGACGACCAATGTGCCCAAAGAGGGTCAATTTCGGGCGGATTTGCACTTCTGTTTGTGCTCTGGCCAAGCAGCTGGGGGGTGGGGGTGGAGAAAGGAAAGGAAGCTCGGATCTAATCTCTGGTTGAAATCAGTTTACCAGTGAGATCTAGTTGCAGGTTTGCTCCCCTATATAAACAGTCTATCGATGTGTATGTGTCCTCTGTATACGTGCGCCAGACAGAGATGCAGAGAACGAGGAGGGGGGTACCCAACAGACCCTACCCGGCAGCGACCACGTATGACACAGGATCCAGTATTCCAATCCCTTACAGAAGGTTTGAAAAAAGCATCATGGATCTCTCCTTGCCCTCCTTACAGATCAGGTTTTTAAAAAAATAAATAGGTGAGAAGAAGAGAAGGGAAGGAAAGCAGAGAAGGCTTTCTGAAAATCCACAGCACCTGCCTGCCAGCTTCCCCGGGCACCGCATCTCAAAGCCCTGCAAAAAAATCAATGCTGCCTCTGCTCTGGAGGAGCTTGAAATGTGTGTGTGGGGGGGGAGCACGACAGAGAGAAAGAAAAAAAGAAAGAAACCGGGCAGTCTAGGGAAGGGAAAGGGGGAGTGGAATGAAGGAGGTGTCGGTACATTTCAACCACAGCTTCATCCTTTGAAAGAGACCAGAAATGAGAGGGGTGGGGGTGTCTCCCCGGCCCACAGCGCAACTCATAGCCTTTCCCTAGCCATTGATCCCAGGATATTACATTTCCTGGACCTCTCTTGCTATATGGTCTGACTCTCTCCCTTTCTGATTGACACCCCCCCCCAAGATCGCCCCCCCTTCCACAATCATCCTTGTACACATGCCATCTTTATCCAGGGCATGAGTAAAAAACAGGTTTACATGAGGATGGGGAGAGAGAGAGAGATCTATAAGCAAGCCACCGGTGAAACAACCCTCGATCAATATTCAAAAAAAGAATGGGGGAGGGGGGGAATCACAGGCAATGTTCCCTCTAAGCTGTGGAGTCTTGTGAGCAAAAATTCTACTTTGTGAGCTACTGGCATCAAGGTTGTGAGCGAGGGATTTGGTTGCTGCATAAATCAGTTCGCACTGGAGCCCTCCTTCTTGAGCTAGGACAAAAACGTGCGAGCCGGAGGCTAATAAAATTGTGAGCTAGCTCACACTAACTCAGCTTAGAGGGAACACTGAATTCACAGGGCAGTAGAACTGCTTCGGCGCTATGCTTTTTGGGTTTCTATTTTCTGACTTAGCAGCATTACCGGAGGCACCCGGAGCTTCTTATACTGGGGGCGGGGGGAGGTTGCAGAGAGACATCCACTTTGAACCCCCCCCGGGGTTTCCCTTTCAATCGCAGCACCCCAAAGTTGGCCTAGTCAAGTGTTTGTCCTAGATAACCTTCAGGGGAGGGAGGTTTGTGGGGAAATCCTACTCCTTCTTTCCCACCAGCGGGGAGCCGCTCCGTAGAAAGGGCTCTGCTCTTCCAGGGGGTGGGGCATTCGGGGGTGGGAAGAGACACCCTTCACGATCCCCACCCATCCAGCCATCTCCCACTGCGGGGCGGGGAGAGGGGGAGAGAGAAATCTCTCACTCCACTGCTGCCCTCATTTGATCAGGTTGGAGCAAGCCTGCAGGCAGAGAAAGTCGACTTCCCTGGGCTGATGCATCTATTGGTGGTGATGGGGGGGGGGGATGCTCTCTCTCTCTCTCTCTCTCTCCCTTCTCTTCCCACGGAGCCGGCCCTCCTTATTTCGCCATAGGGGAGCACCAGAAAGGGGGAAAGCAGGGGGGAGCACCAGAAGGGGGAAAGCAGGGGCCCATCACAGCGAGACTGGGCAGCGGAGAGGTCTGCGCGCGCGCCTACAGCCAAACACAAGCAATACGCCGCAGGAGGCTCTTTGTCCAACACCTAGGCAAAGCTCCCACCCCTCCGCAGACCTTCCGAGCAGGTGCCCCTTCCTCCTCCTCACTCAACAGGAAGAGCCAAGGTCAGCATCTTCCCAGAAAGGACCCGGCGCATGCAGAAACCAAGGGGCACACACACACGCCCCAGGACCAGAGGTGTCCCCCAACCTCACTCCTGCATCTGACACTGAACGCTTTGGAAGGAAGGGGGGGAGGGGGGAACGACCAAGGCCGGTCCTTCTCTACCTAGGGCGGCCGCACCTCCCTCGAAAGCAGAGTAGGGAGGTCGGATCTCGCCTGGAGGGGCCAGGAGGGAGTAGAAAGCAAAGGCGCCACCGACTGGAAACGAGCCCCCGTCATCCCAAACCGCACAATCCGTGCGCCACCAGCGCCGCGCAAGAGCCACAGGGTCCCAGAGGTGTCCAAAAGCCAGCCCAGAGGCGCAGATTTCTACCCCACACACACACACGCATGCATGCACACGAAGGCGAAGACATGGGGAGGGGAAGAAGTCCCCCCCCCTTCCCGACCAGTCCTGAAGTTGGGTGCCACTTACGGTACCCCTGGCTGGTGTGGGCCTCCGGAGCGGCGGTGGTGGTGGTGGAGCTGGAGCCGGCCTCTTGGAAGGGCGATAAGGTCCAGGAGGGCGCCGAGTCCTGCAGATAGGTCTTGTAGGAGGAGGTAGTGTATGCCGCAGTGGGCCAGAGGGGCAGGGGCTGAGTCCCCGGGGTGCCAGGCGCCGGGCGGGAGATCAGGAGGGTGGTGCCCCGAGGGGCGGCGGCGGCGGTGGCCTGGACGGTGGGGGGCCCCACGGTGTGTCGTGCCGTGGTGGAGCGCGGGGGCCCGGCCCGGATGGGGCCCCGCGTGCCCGGCGGCGGCGGTGGCCTGGACGGTGGGGGGCCCCACGGTGTGTCGCGCCGTGGTGGAGCGCGGGGGCCCGGCCCGGATGGGGCCCCGCGTGCCCGGGAAGCGAGTGGGCGCCTTGGTCATGGTGGTGAGACGGGTGCTGATCCGGTTAGGGGTCCTGGACGTGGCGGCGGCGCCGGCCGTCGTGGTAGTGGTGGTGGTGGTGGTCGTCTCCATGCTCTTGGGCAGGGCGGAGGGCTTGGAGAGGAAGAAGGGGTCCTGCTCGATGCCCTTGGAATCCATCAGCTCGGTGGGCACGTACTCCTTGACGGAGCCCACCACGATCCACTTGAGGAGCATCAGGCTGAGCCCCAGGCCGACGAAGCCGATGAAGAGGGGCACGACGCACAGCCACGTCTGCTGGCGGTTCCAGACGATGCAGTCGCTGCAGCGCACCTCGCGGGCCGCCGCCGCCGCCGCCGCCGGATCGGGGCCCCCATCGCCCGCCGCCGGACCCCCCGCCGCCGCCCCGGCCTCGGCAGCAGCTGCAGCAGCACCCGGCGGCGCGGCGACCCCTTCGCTCATCCTCCTCGGTGCCTCTCACACCCTCCCCCGGGGGGACAGCAGCGGCGTCGGGGGGGAGGGAACTGCATGCGGGGCGGGGGGA